GGGGTGGAGGGGCGGAACAACCTTAGAAGGAAAAGAAATAGATCCTAGCTTCCCACAGCTTTCCGTATTGAGGGGGCTCCACAGGTAGGTAGATGATTTCATTTTGCCATATTCCTATCAAGTTAGTGTGACAGAGGGCGCTCAGCTTGGGATGAAAACCTTCCGGCACTATCAGGTTCACCTCAATGGAAACCTCATTCCTTAAACAGACTCATTCTAAGACTAGCTAAAAGTAACTGGTTCCATAGGTCAAACACACCAGACCTCAGAGATCCCTGCTTTCTCCAAACAAGCAGGACTGCGGGAGAGGATGGTCACAACCACAGGCAGACACATGCACTCTTATAGGAAATGATTTAACAGTGAAAGGTACTTTGCCAATAGCATTTTCCCCAAGCTCACCATTTTCTTATAGTAGATACTATATTTAACTCCCCATTTAGGCTTTAATATCAGAGTCAGCAAAATGTCACTTTGGGTTAGAGAAACTTTCTAAGATCTAGGACTAACTATATGTTAGCAAATTAAGTGTATACAGCTCACACCATTCCCTAAACACCCTGTAAGAGAGATCAATACTCAGACATATGGAAGGGAAAGAAACATCTTTGCAATTAAGAACAATTCGACATTTAAACAAAATGAACAGAGCAAGATTATTGAGGTAATTTCATTCCTATCATGGACTAATTCCAACATCCTACACTATAAGATGCAACACTGCCAAGCAAGCACTTTATAAGAGAGACTAGTTTGGGGAATTTTATGAATTCCTGAGTTTGTACTGAATCTTTTTTTTTTAAACTTTGAATAAGTCATTTCACTCACCACATGATAACTACAGCCTGTATATTAAATGGCCTGATTACATGTTTAAAAGAATACAGCCAACTGGAAAGTACCTAACAGACCTCTGTTAGCCTCTATTCATCTGATAGGTAGAGTAATGACTAGACTGCAGAAGACCTTGGTTTTTACTTAACTTCTGCCACTGATTATTAAAATTTTGGTAAATTACCTAACTTTCCTATGCTTCAGATTTTCCATCTGCAAGTTAGATATAAAATCCAAACTGACCTACTTTGGAAGAAAACTGAGAAGAAATATTTGAAAAGCCTTTGAATTATTTGGAAGATACAATCTAAATCCAGAAGCTGGCAGAAGTGTAAAGGCAAAATTAAGGGAAGATTAAAACATTCAAGCACTGTAAAATATAATGCTACTCTTCTGAATGTACTGTATGAAAGCCTTACATTTAAAAACTACAAAGCAGTTTAGAAATATCACATTACAATGACCAGTTTCTTCTATATTATAAATGCACATTTAAAAATAATGTTTTAAAAATGGAATTTATCAGTGTAATGCATTTATCAACTGGATTTACAAAAGATTCAAAAAGTGATATATCATTCGTTCCAAACGGAACGCAAATTTGTAACAGTGGTGTCAGTCTAATACAAATACAGAAACATATAACCTAACAGGACAGAAAAGCACCCTAATGTCCCAAAGCAGAAGACTAGACAAATGAAAGGAGACAGAAGAGATTTTCTTTCTTCCCTTATTTCAAGAGTAAGATAATTATTCGCACTTTTCAAGACCTCTTTATCTCTTCTTCACAAAAGCTAAACTTTCACCATAATCATGTTTACTATTTTTCTTTCCTGCATAATCAAGCTACGTATAAAGTGCTTCTAGATTTCATTTTTTGCTGAAAAGCCTTAACAAGTATACTGAGCATTTATACATCATTTTAAAATCAGCATGAAATTCAGACTTGATCCAAAGGCACTAATTCTTAAATTACATATTCAATAACTATTCAATATAACAGTTATGAACCTAAAACAATTCAAATTTGTTTATTCTAGATATAGTCCAATGCAAATGAGGTCAGAAATTAAACTGGAATATGTACATATTATGAGAACATACATAAAACCATCAAAAAAAAAAAAAGTTCTTTGCCCTTAGCTCCATGCATGTAGAAGTGAGTGAAATCTATGTTTATATCTAGGAACGGATAGCTACTGCTCAAAATCAATAAATCCACAACTGGAAGTATATTCATATTCAGATGATTAATTCATTATATATGTGTATACGCATGCATGTATTATACATAGAGCATATATAACACACATATACTCTCTGTATATATGTATATATAGTAAATATTAAATAATATAAAACATATTCTTTAAAAATTCATCCATTCATTCAGTGACACACTTAGGTTGTTTCCATATCCTGGCTATTATGAATAATGCTGCAATGAACATGGGAGTGCAGATAACTCTTCGTGATAGTGATTTCATTTCCTTCGAATAATTGGTGTGACTGCTGAATCGTGATAGTTCTAATTTTAATTCCTTGAGGAACTTCCATACTGTTTTGCATAGACACTGTACCAAGTTACATTCTCACCAACAGTGCAAAAGAATTCCCTTTCCTCCACATCCTGGCCAACACTTATCTCTTATCTTTTTGCTGATAGCCATTCTAATAGGTGTGAGGTGATAACTCATTGTATTTTGATTTGCATTTCCCTGACGATTAGTGATGTTAAACACTTTTTCATGTAGCTTGGCACATTTGTTATGTCCTCTTTGAAAAATGTCTACTTAGTTCCTTTATCCATTTTTAAATTGTTTTTTTGCTATGAGTTCCTTAGATATTTTGGGTATTAATTCCTTATCAGATATATGATTTTGCAAGTATTTTCTAGCAATTTTGTAGGCTGCCTTTTTATTTTGTGGATGGTCTCCTTTGTTCTGCAGAAGCTTTTAAATTTGATGTAATCCCACTTATTTTTGCTTTTTTTTTGCCTGTTTTTGGTGTCAAATCCAAAAAAATCATTGCTAAAAACAGTATCGAGGAGCTCATCCATCCTGACAACCCCCCCCACCCTGTTTTCTTCTAGGAGTTTATGGTTTCAGGTGTTACATTCAAGTCTTGAATCCATTTTGCGTTGATTTTCCTGTTAGGTACAAGATAGGGGTCCAGTTTTATTCTTCTGCATGAAGCTATCCAGTTTTCCCAACATCATTTATGGAAGAAGAGGCTGTCCTTTCTCCAGTATATATTCTTGGCCTCTCTGTCATAAGTTAATTGACCATACATACTGGGTTTATTTCCAGGCTCTTTACTCTGTTCCAATTATCTGTTTTTATGCCAATAACATTGTTTTAATTATGATAGCTTTGTAATATAATTTGAAATCAGAAAGTGTGATGCTACCACCTTTGTTGTTCTTAAGGTTGCTTTTGCCCGGCCAGGCGTGGCTCAGCAGTTGAGTGTCCACCTAGGATCCAGGCCATCGGGGTTCGATTCCTGGTCAGGGCACATGCCTGGGTTGCGGGCTCGATCCCCAGTCAGGGGCATGCAGGAGGGAGCCGATCAATGACTCTCTCATCATTGATGTTTCTCTCTCTCTCCCTCCCCCTATCCTTTCCTCTCTCTGAAATCAATAAAGATATAGTTAAAAACAAAAAAAGAAAAAGAAAAAGATTGCTTTGGCTACTAAGGGTCTTTTGTGATTCAACACAAATTTTAGGATTGTTGTTTTCTATTTCTGTGAAAAATGCCATTAGAATTTTTTATAGGGATTACACTGAATCTATAGATGGTTTTGGGCAGTATGGGCATTTTAACAATATTAATTCTTCTAATCCACAAGCACAGACTATCTTTTATTTATTTGTATCTTCAATTTCTTTCATCATGTCTTAGTTTTTGGTGTATAGATCTTTCACTTCCTTGTTTAAATTTATTCCTAAGTATTTTATTCTTTTTTATGTGAGATTGTTTTCTTAATTTATCTTTCTGACAGTTCACTGTTACTATATAGAAACACAACTGATTTTTGTACATTAATTTTGTATCCTGCAACTTTACTGAATTTATTAGTTCTGACAGTTTTTTGGTGAAGTCTTCAGGGTTTTCTACATACGATATCATGTCATCTATAATTAGAGACAATTTTACTTCTTTTACGATTTGAATGTCTTTTCTTTTACTTGCCTAAATGCTCTGGCTAGGACTTCTACTATGTTGAATAAAAGTGACTTGTCCTTGTCTTGTCCTAATCTTAGGAGTAAAGCGTTCTGTTTTTTACCAGCGAGTATAATATTAGCTGTGAGCTTGTCATATATGACCTATATTATATTGAGGCATATAGTTTGTTGAGAGTTTTTCTCATTGAAGGATGCTGAATTTAGTCAAATGCATTTCCTGCGTCTATTGAAACGGTTATATAATTTTGTCCTTTATTTTGTTAATGTAGCATATCACATTGATTTGCAGATGCTGAACCATCCTTCCATCCCTGGAATAAATCCCACTTAATGGGATCATGGTATATGATCCTTTTAACGTACTGTTGAATTCAGTGCACTAATATTTTGTTGAGGACTTTTGCACCTATGTTCACCAGAGATATTGGCTTGACATTTTTTTCTTGCACTGTTCTTGTCTGGCTTTGCTGTGAGGGCAATGCTGGCCTTGTAAAATGGATTTGAAAGTGTTCCCACCTCTTCAATTTTTTTGGAAAAGTTTGAGAAGAATTAGTATTAATTCTTCTCTAAATGTTTAGAATTCACCAGTGACACCATCTTGTTCTAGACTTTTGTGTTGGAAGAGTTCTGATTTCTGATTCACTCTCCTTACAAGTAATCAGTCTGTTCAGATTTTCTATTTCATCATGATTCGCTCATGGTAGGCTCTATGTTTCTAGACATTTATTCATTTCCGCTACATTTTCCAATTTGTTGGTGTGTAATTAATTATTCACAGTAGTCTTTTATGATCTGTTGTATTTCTGTGTTATCAGTTAAAATGTCTCCACTTCTATTTATAATTTTGAGTCCTCTCTCTTTTCTTGTTGGTGAGTCTAACTAAAGGTTTGCATATTTTATCTTTTCAAAAAAACAGCTCTTAGTTTCATTTATCTTTTCTATTGTGCTTTTTAAGTCTCCATTTCATTTATTTTCACTTTGATCTTTGTTATTTCCTTCCTTCCACTAACTTTGGCCTTAGTTTGTTTTTCTTTTTCTAGTTCTTTAAGGTATAAAGTTAGGTTATTTGAGATCTTTCTTGTTTCTCAGTGTAGGCATTTATTGCTATAAACTGCCCTCTTAAAACTGCTTTTGCTAAATCTTGTAAGTCTTGGTATGGTGTGTTTCCATTTTCATTTGTTTCAAGATATTTTTTTATTTCTCTTGGTTTCTTCTTTGATTCACTGTTTTTTAAGGCATGTTGTTTAATCTCCATGTAGTTGTGAATTTTCCAGTTTTCTTCTTGTAACTGATTTCTAGTTTCATACCATTATGGTCAGAGCAGTTGCTTGATATGATATCAGTCTTCTTAAATTATTAAGACTTTTTTGTGGTCTAACACGATCTTTCCTGGAGAACTTTTCCTGTGCATTTGAGGAAGAAGTATATTCTGCTGCTGTTGAACAGAGTGTTCCACAAACATCAAGTCCATCTGGTCTAACGTGTAGTTTAAGTCCAATGTTTCCTTATTTTTTTCTGTCGGGATGACCTATCCATTGTTGAACATGGGGTAGTGAAGTCCCTACTATTATTGTATTGCTGTCTATTTCCCCCTTCAGTTCTGTTAATATTGCTTTATATATTTAGGTGTTACAAAGTTGAGTGCATAACCATTTACAAACATTATATCCTCTTGATGAATCGACCCCTTTATTGTTAGAAATGAGATTCTTAATTTTATGTTCAAAGTCAGTTATGTAACAAAACAATCACTTACCTTTAAGAGCTTCACAATGCTTTTTAATTGCTACAGGAGTCAAATGCAGAAAATTGGGGATCTAAAGTAGAGAAATTTAAAGGATAAATTAGCCAACTGTCTTAAAAACATGAAAAAGGCAATTTGCTCATATAACTAAATCATAGGCCCAACAAGGCTTATCATAAATAAAATGTGGTGGTTTTTTACACTATCACATCCTATGCCACAGGTGTTGTGAATTCAAGAAAAAAAATTCCTTGAAATACAGATTCAGTACCAAGTGTCTTAAAATGACATTTGAAAAAATAAACATTTTTATAGTGTTCTTCCTGCCAGGTGTAAATATTTCCCTTATAGAATTGAAGGCACCTAAGGACACAGATCATTGTTTAATCATCCTAATTCCCCTGGATTACATAGCACTGTGATACATTTTCTACTTTGTAATTAATAGAATTTTAGAACTGAATGAATAAATGAAACTATCAAATCTTAACTGAACAATTTAATGAAGCTGGGAATACATATATGATGATATATTAAGAGGCTACCTAATCATTCGCAGGACCAATGGGAAGTTCAGTAAAGGTCAGAGATTTAATTCCTTCAAATAAATAATTACATTTACTAGATACTTCTTGATAATGTTAAGCAATTTAAGAGAAAATTTAGTTAAATAGACTAATTTTGAAAGAAAAATTTAAACATGTAGAAAGTTATTACAAACATTATGCCTAGAATCTTAAGTGTGGATCAGAAAATGTTTATTTTAATCAAGAGAAAATAGGCAATGAAAATTGGAACTATGGACTATGTGGCTTCATTTTTCTACACTTTTATTTTTGAAACATAAAATATAATCTTAAAATCATAAAAGGAAAAAATAATTGCTAACGCTTACATAACATTTATATAGGAACTGTTCTATGCACTTTGCATGTATTAGCTCAGTTAATAAACTTATCCAATGGAACTCACTAGGAATAAACCATTTCACTGGACTAGGCATATAGGTGATTCTTAAAAGGGATGGCATGCGTTAAATGTTTGGATTTCTATGTTTATTTAAATACCATTGACAACCATTAGCATTATTACAAATATATTGCTACCCTCTCTCAACCAGTGATATTTTCCAAAGACCTATCTTTAAACTCACATCTCCTCTTTCACTTGAAGAAAAAACTAGTTTCCTCAATGTTTGTTTTCTTATGTCTCCTAAAACATTCCTATTTCCAAATTTAATTTACCCGTCTCCAGCAGCAGATAACCCCTTTCCCATATTACCATCTAATTTTTCACCATCACCTTTTATTAAATTTTTCTTTGTATTTCAAGAAGACTCTCATTTAATGGAAAACAATCTGCTGATGATAATTCCATTGTATATAAAAGGAAACCATCTAAGACATGCATTCCCAGGCTAAGCATATATATTTTTTCTTTAAAAACTCACAGTTCATAAATCACTATTGATGCTACCAACTGAGGCATTTAATATGACCTCTTTTGCTTCAAGCAATAAAGTTTAAGGACAATAACAATAATATTAAATAATATTCTACCTTTCTGGACAGAAAGTTTAAAAATCTCTTTTAAAAGTGAAATCTTCCACACACACCCCCCCAGTTCTCAATCTCAAATTAGATTATTTCGCTTTTCTTAGTTCCATTTGAAAGATACAATAAAAAGGTACAATAAAAAAATATACAACAGAAAAGAAAAAGCCAAAAGGGAAGCCAAAGGACAAATTAATTACATTCTGAAATGCCTAGGGTTCTTTGAGTCTTTTTAACAACGGATAATCAAAATATAACATCCATTACTAAATGGGAAAAAAATTAAAATTAAAATACAATAAGCTGTTAAACAAGAAGTATAAGGGGAGTGGGAGGAGGATCACCATTTATTTAGATATAAGCCAATGATCCAATAACTTATCTTACCTTTAAAAGTTCTAGGTTTCCTTCCTTTGCCATGGGCACCCCTCTTTTTACTGGATAACCCATTCGAACAGGAAGAGGTACTACAGAGGGTTTAAATGGTGCTGCAACAGGGTAAACACTAGGCCAGTCCTGGTCAACAGCCATTTTCTCTGTCCTAGGAGGTAGTGCCTAAGAAACATAAAACAGTTTAATATTTTAAATATGAACATGTATTTTAATTTTACAGCAAAAGAACACATGTAATTAAGAGAAACGCTAGCAGAATTGCAACCTATGTAAAATCCCACAAAGCTGCTGCTGTTCAAATGAAAAAAAACACAAAATCTACCTAAATATTTCTGCACTACTTCCTCAAACCCTCTAGGGTACAATTTCTCCCTAACTTATTTATTGATAAGCAAACTTTTCCCATTTTGTTTATGAATATTTTGAAATGATTTATAAAACTTCTTTGATAAAGTCAGTACATGAGGTAACACTGAGAACTTGGAAACAAGTAAAGTAAGGTTAAACTAACTGAATAAATACTTAAGAAATTACATATTTTCTAGGCCCACAGAATAGCTATATGACAGCTTAGTCAATCACAATACCTATATATATAAAATACTAAAGTATGGTTTAAAGAGACAAAATGTGGCTATACCCATCTAAGCAATATCAAAACTAGTGTAGTATGTCCTGGAACCAGGTAATATTCCTATGAAAATGACTACTTTAGACAACTATAATTTGATGCCATTTAACTTCCAACTAATACGCCTTTGTTCTGACTCCCTGCCAAGTGACCTTATAATTTGGATTCCTCCACAGAGATGCTCACAGAGTGAAAACAAACTAGTAAGATTAATGCATACATCCCAGGGTGTATGACTGTTAAAAGCATCAAAATAATTCTATATTCTGGTTTAGAATTCTATATTCCCACCTGTTTTCTGGGAATATGTGGGTGTGTCCACCTCTCAAAGATGGTCCATTCTCAGGGTATTGACAAAGACCAGTCCACGGCTAGAGTCAAGACTGTGGTAGTCACCAAGTAAACATCCCCTTAAGAACCTTTCCTGGGATGTACCCTCTTGCCTCATCATGAATATTTGCCTCACTTTAGAACTTCAGAAACCATTAAGATAGTATATTTTAGAGTATGTTAATTGTTCACCTTTCTTCTGAGTGCCCTTTCAGATCTGGATGTTCTTTCTGTTGTACCTAAAAGACAACACAATAATTATAGAGAATTTTGTAACATAGAATTGTTCAACACTGATCATGATCCCACAATTCAAATACAATTTAAGGTATTCAGTAACAAAAACTGAAACAATAATCCATTTTCTGTAAGCTCAGAGACTAAAAGCATCTTAATGAAAATGAAAAGTCAGAAATAGTTAAGAAAATTCTACAGTTATTAAAATATAAAGTGAAATCATCATCTAAAGAAATACTTTCAATAAATTTTAAGGTTCACAGTCAAATAAACTCACTTTCCCAAGTTAAAATACCTAGCTAGAAATGAGTATTTTGTGTCTTTAAAGATAAATGGTTTGAAATGTTCTAATTTTAAGTACACTTGCTCATACTTGGAAATATTCTGTTCTTTCTACCAAAAAAAAGGAAAACCCTTAGGTTTTTCCTTCTCTATTATACATTAGAACTGCCAATGCTACAAATAACAATAACAAAAATCATACCCATTCTTAATAAATCACGTAACTGTAGAAGAGGGCAGGTTACTTACATACAGTATATATCTTTTAAAATATCATCTTATGCCCCTTAAATAACTGTTTTGCTACTGTAAAACAATAGCTTTTTGTTGAGCACTTTCACATGCTAGACACTGTGCTGTTTTTCATTATCTCATTTAATCTCCTTCTTCACCAGAACTGTAAGCACTATCATTGCCCTTACATGTCATTTATAGCCAAGAAACCTAGGATCCAGAGTTGTGACAGTAGCATAGCACGAGGACTCTTCAGACTCTGAACTTCACATCACATTCTTCACATCTCTGGCTTCGTCTCCCTCCACAATGCCCCACAGCTACACTGAACATCGAGTATCTGGCTCTTCAGTCTTTCTGAACTTTACATTCTCTTTGCCTGAAATATGCTTTCCTCCCATCTGCTTAACTTCTGGCCCCTTCTCCCTCCCCACCTCATCTCTTCATCTGACAAATTCTTATTCATCCCTCAGGAGTATCTCATTTATTCCTTCAAAAGTTTCAGAGTGATACTGTGCACCAGAAATCAGGAAGGCAGCAAAGAACAAGAGAAACACAGTCCTTACTCCCACAGAACGGATAGTCTGTCAAATAAGACAATGAACTATTTGACAAGTAATTTCAATAAACAACGATAAATATTCATGGAAACACAGAGCAGGAGACAGAGCCTAATCAAATAGTTGGGAAAAATCTCCCTGAGGAAGTTGACTTTACACTAAAACATTAAGGATGAGCAGGAGGTAGCCTTGGGAACCAGCAAGTGAGAAACCATGTTCTAGAGAAAAGGAAGACGAAAAGTCAAAGTAAACATTCAATACGGCTGACACTTCAGAGTAAAACAGCGTGCACTGAGAAGAGAGACTGGAGACATTTAATAGGCATCTCAACTGTAACACAGGGCTCTTGATTTTCTTCTTCCAGTGTTCCCAACCCCTGTAAATGGTATTGCCATTCATCCAATTATTCAGGACAAAAATCTAACATGCTTCCTTGAGACTTTTCCTCAAGCCCTGTATCAAATTCATCAGTAAGTCCCATTAGCTCTACCTTCAAAATATGTCCCAAATTCAACCACACCGCCTTCTCCACAATTACCTCAAACCAAATCACCAACATCTCATTTATACTACAACAGCTTCCAAACTGGTTTCCTGACTCCCACTCTTATCCTCCTAAAGTTAGTTCTCTACACAGCATCCAGTGATCTTTAAAAGGGTAAATCACGTTCTATCACTTCCCTGTCCAAAATCTCCCAATGTGATCCCAAACTTAAAATAGAATCCAAGCTAAATGCCTCTAAGCCTTTACAAGATCAGGCCATTACTTAACCTTCCTTATACTACTACTCTCCTCTTTGCTCACTTAGCTCCAGCCACGCAGGCCTCCTTTCCTGTCCCTTGGTCACACCCATAAGCTTATTCTCACTTCTGAGCCTTTGCACCTGCAATTCCCTGTGCCAGCAATGCATTCTCCCATCCCTCATCCCCCATCTCAGCATGGTTCTGGGCTCTGCTCAAATGTCACTTCCCCAGGGAGGTCTTTCCAGACAGACTACCCATCTTATCCTACCGGATAGCCACTCCTCCAATCCATCATTCTCAACATCCTGCTTTATTTTTCTTCACAGCACTGACCACAACCTTACATTGCACGCACACTGTTTATCCGTTTATAGTCTAACTTCCCCCAAAGTATGTAAACTTCATGAGGTGAGGGACCTTTGCTCTTTCCCGGTATCTAGAATACTGCCAAGCACACAGGAGGAGTTAAGAATTTACGGAATGAATGAAAAATTAAAAAGACAGGATAAGACTATGAAGAGCCACTATCACACAGTAATGAATTTACCCTTTATCTTAAAGCAATGAGAAACCACTTGTAGATTTGGAACGAGGGAGTGGCAAGGTAAGATTCGCTGTCTGAACACTTCACTCTGGCAGCTGTGAGCGTTCAACGTCGGGGAGCAAAAGCGTAAACAGGGATCAGTAAAGGCACTGCTGTGGAAATGAGAGATGGTGGCCTCGCCGGGTGTTAGTGGTAGGAAGATGAGAGGTCCTACAGGAGGGAGCACGGAGACCCGGTGTGGCGGACCTGCCTCCTCGTGGGCAGGGCTTCTCCAGATTCTTGCGGCTCCTCCCCAGTGCTCCCAGGTGACCCTATTCCCGCTTCTTTTCCGCAGCCTCACAGTGCACAAGGGTCTTTGTCACTAGACTCCCCCAGGGCAAGAACTCCCCCAGGCACCCCCATTATCTCCGAGTGAAGGTCACCTCGGTGTCTGAATGAAGGTCATCCCACTGGTGGCTCAGCTAGGCCTGGAATTCAGAGCCGCGGTTGTTCTGGGCCAGCTGTGTCTCTCTCTTAACGTCCGAGAATACCCCTGGGTCAACACCCCCAGGAAACGTCACCGAGCACCAGGAACTGGAGAGGCCCGCGCGGGTGACCGGGGACCGGGCGCCAAAGCGCGCAGGTCACGGGGGGAGGGGCGCGCAGGCGGGGGCGCCCGGAGCACCCAGCGCACAAACCCGCGGCTCGGAATGGGGCGACCCGCGCGCAGAGGGCAGACCCACGTGCACGGCTTTCCCACCGCGGGGCCGGGGACAGGCTGGCGGAGGCC